GGTGAAAAAGAAGTGGTGAATTTGTTGAAAAACTGTGAACTCACCAAAAAAAATTGAATGATGGGCTGTTGGCATTTTAAATTCGATAAAGATGCATGAAAATGCATCAGAAAACATCAGAAGCATTAAATATATGCGAATCAATCCTTTTAAGACTTCTATAATGAGGTAAGACCAAAGGAATTTTGTGCCATACCAGTTGAATCCAAAACTAGTTGTAAGACGTTTTTCACATTTTGGCACAATGTTCCAAAAATAGGAGAGAAAGGAATTTTTGTATCGTATTGTAACTGGAAGTGAAGAGGGCATCTGCTACGATAACCTCAGGCATAAAAATAAGCGTTCAATCCCACACAATCATCAAAATCGATTGCATAGCAGGATTTTGATGATTTCTCGGTAATGCTCATTATTTGGTGGGATTAAAGTGGTGTGGTGTATAATGAGCTGCTGAAACCGGGTGAAACTGTCACGGGGGATCGGTATCGACTACAACCAATACGTTTGAGCAGATTACTGAGAGAAAAATTGAGAAAAACTGCGACAAGAAATAGTCGAAGGATTCATCAAAATTTGACATATTCCAAACATCGCAAAAAAAAAGATAGGGGACTCTGGTCGGGGTGAGCTTGATCACCCCCCGTACTCTCCAGACCTTGCCCCTTCTGACTACCACTTGTTTCGATCAATGCAAATGGGCTTGTCTGAGATATCGTTTCGAAATTCTGAAGGAGTGCGAAAATGGGTCGATCAATGGATAGCTGGAAAAGATGAGGAATTCTTTCGACGCGGAATCGACAAGCTGCCAAGAAGATGGGCCGAAGTCATAGCTAACTATGGGCAGTACATTGGTTAATGTACTCATTCTTATTATTTTTAAATAAATGTTTCCTTTCACCAAAAAAACGATCAAAATTAATTTATACACCCAATAATTAAGAATTAAATCAAACTGGTGCAAATTGAAGTTTACTCCTGAAACGCATCTAATGCATTAGATGCGTTTCAGGAGTAAAATACAATAAATATTCCAAATATGTCCAAATTGTTTAAATAGTGAAAACTAACAGCTGCTAACATTGAAATTAAACATTAAAGGAGATATTATAGCACTGTTTATTTTAATTCTCCAAAAAATGGATTTGATTCCAAGCATTTTGAAATTTGATTTTCAATTTTAACACAAGCATTTTGTAATAAGCCAACAGCTTGTAAGATTTCATAGCTAATTGGCTTTTCACAATTTTTAATTTGTATTTTGGCCTCACGCATTTTAAATAATCGTTTTTTCAATTTTGGTTTCTCATAAAAAAAAATTAAACAGTCCGGTATCACACTTTTTCTATGTTGTTTCTGCCAATGCACGTAATAGTTCTCTTTGTTTGTAAATTTTGACTCATAATTTTTTGCACAACATTTATATTTTTTGACTTTATCCGCGTTAAGTCGTTCATGGCGATCTAGATTATTTTTATTTTTCTTAATAAATATGCCACAGAAGCAACATAAAAATAATTTTTCTGTGCGTTCGTCGGTTTGTTTACGCATTTTGTATCGAAATGACATTGAAATATCAGCTGTCACATGCTTCTCAGATGGCGCTGGCAACGTTTTGCAGAAAAGTCATATTTTTGACAATTGCTATCGGGGGATGCCCTTGTTTTTTTTTTTGCTACCACTTAGTCATAACAAGTTGAAAAATGACGTTATTGTAAAATGTCGAATCGTTCATGTTAAGGTAAAAAAGATTTAGTCGCATGTCAAATGTTTACATCGTATAAAATAACTGCAAATTGATTTATTATCCATCCACCATTAAATATTTGTCTTAAGGTAGGAAGAATATTTTTTTAAATTCATATATTCCAATGGGATACTCTGTTTTCAAATGAATATCTTTAAATGCACTCAATCCATTCACTAAACGCATTTCTTCACAAGCCCAAGCTTTATTCGTTTCCGCTTTAAATCTCAACATTTTCAATTGGCGCAATATCAAAATGTATGTAAATAGAGCAGTAATGTGCGAGCAAAAATTTTCAGGGAAGGTTGTTGATCGAAAAAAAAATCGAAAAAAATGAGAATAATTTTGCTCAATTTACAAAAACTCAAGCAAATTCAAATAATTCCTTCGAAAATCACAGGGGTTAAACCTTCTTCCTCATTTTATTATAGACTACATTCAATTTAAAACCAAAACCAAGAAAAAGCTGAATAAAGAAAAAAAGCTTTATTGTTAAGATTAAATTTTTCCTTATTTAACGCCCTTTCTCGATACGTTCAAAACAGGTTAATGAATCCTTTCATTTAAGTGATTTTTACAAACATTTCTCTTGGAAATATTCCGTTTATAGAAAAAGGGATGTTGACTGTATATATAATGCCATGGGTTTATATGCCATTAACATTTCCTTGGTAATGTCTTATTTTAAAACTAAAATGTCTTAAGACTCGGTTCGTTTCTATTCCAACGGTTGTTGAGTTTCAAATGGTTTTCTCGATATTTTCTTTGCTTCGCTAACCTTAGTAGTAACTAAGTAAAAACCTTCGCGAAAGGGCCAAAAACTGTGCAAAACATTGTTAAAAATTATTGACAATGACGACAAAACCTTGTGTATCGGAAAGAGAAGCGAAAGTATAATCGCTTCGCGTCGAATGAAATGTGACAATAGTTTAAATAAGCGCACAAAAAAAATATTGTCGAACGAAGTCGCACTTTAAGATAAATAATCAAATAAGAAGAAGAAGAGTATGTACTTGATTGAGAAGATAGAAATCGGTTGTGTGTGTGTGTGAAAAAAGCAAACAATCCATAAGATGAGGATTAAATAAATGAAACGAAATGGATTCCATCAAAAAATAATTCGTGCAGAAAAGCTCTTACTATAAAATGGAAATAAAGACATGAATAAAAAATTTCGAAGTGCAATGCTAGAAGAAGAGAGATAGAAGATAAGAGTCAGAGTACTCGAGACACAGTAAAAAAAATACCTAATGATAATAATAATAATGATGAGTTGAGTGGGTGTGAGGGAGAGAAAAGTGTCAAAATGTTAAAACACGACCACATTGATTGAGGGTGAATCGCAAGTAGAGAATGCAGAAACGAAGAAGATGACAAAAAATGTGTGTCGCATTGATTTTTAAATCGACAAGAGCAGATAAAATAACACACCAAACTTTCTTTTTCGGGGTGAAAGCTGCAATAAAGTGGCAATGCTACTTAAGACGTCAACATATATCGATCTGGATAAATTCATTTTATAACAGGAAACCATGCTGACAGAATTTTTTTTTTTCTTGTTGCAATCTTCTTCCCTTTATTTTTTTAGAGATAAATGAAAAATGCTCGTTGGTGCGAAAAAACGATGGTGGTAGTAAAAAAAGTTTAAATACGGATTTGATGCTGAGTTTGTTAACAGCTCAAGCTGAATTGATTATTTGAGACTTACCGCTTTTCCTCATTTTGACATCTTTTAAAATGTCTGCCAAGAAAATCTTACGGAAATAAAATGAAAAAAAGTCTTTTCGGCTGAAAACTATGAAGTAGATTCTTTATTGTTTAATTCATTACATTATTATGTTGTTGAGTATGTATTTGAAATAAGATTTCGGTCTACATTAGAGTATAAATAATAATCTGTGTGTAGTACTAAATGTGTAGTTTATGCATCGTCAAATTTCTTTTTTGTCTAATTAAGAAGAATTATTATTATATTTTTGATATAGCTAAAGACCATTTCTAATACAATTGCTTAAAATGTGTGTGTGCCAATTTCAAATGAAATTTTACACAAATTATCTGTGTATAATATACTGTATATATTTGAATGTGTGTGTGTGTGTGTTTTAAAATCTATTGATAATTTTTCCATAAAAATGTTGTTTAGCTTCATTTCTTCTTTACATTCTCTTTTTTTCTTTTATAAGCAAGATTGCATGCTTTGAATTTTTAATATTATTTTAGTAATCTAGTTTGGATACTAAATTGGATTGATTAACGTAATTCCGTACGATTTAATTCTATAATTATTGTTATTTTAAGTGCGTACTCATTTTTCGAAAAATCATTAAATCATTCAAATTCATTCAATTCTTGCTCTACTTTTGATATGGTATAAATATGAATTGCGTTTTTTACATATTAATAATTATATTTTTGTTTCACTTTTCACTAAAACGTTCACATTAATGTTTTTTATTATAAATTTGAAAAAACGTATTCCATATTTTGCTTTTCGGTGTTGCTGGACATTTTTTAGATGGTGTTTATTATTCTCGAAGAAATCAGATCCTTTTTTTTTTCAAAAAAATTGAGAATTCGTGAACACAATAAATAAAAACACTCAAATTGAGTGGTTGTAGAATCAAATACTTTAATTAAAATTTACATGTATCTTTTTGAGGCGTTACTGATGGTGGTTGGAAAACAAATTTCATATAATCAGTCATTTTCAACTACATGTATATGTATAACAGTAATGTGCGAGCAAAATTTTCCATCTTTCTTCAAAAAACCGTAGGAAATCGAGAAAAATTTCGTTTCGGACGAAAATCCCTAGCAAATCGGAAGAATTTTGAAGTCACAGGGGGGTAAACCACCATAAAACTTCTTCTCCTGAGCTTGAAAAATCCAAAAACATATTATATTCTGAGTTTCTATCAAAGAGAAAGCGATGATGCCCATCTAATATGTAATTGCATAGTGAATTATGATTGTTCTCACTAGCAATTTTTTTCTTTGGCTAAATCAGATAATTTATATGGATTTCTCATGCTTAATACATTATATTTTGAATGGTTTTTCTTAAAAATCTTCGATTTCATTTATCAAATATTTATTTATCTTTATTTATTATAATTAAATTTGATTAAAGTCGTTTCAAAGGTTTAAATGTATTTGTAACTAGCATACACCAAATTAAAATTATCATTATTTAATTGAAATGTTAATTTTATAAATCGAACTTAAAAATGTAATACTCGCACTTTTCATATACAACTTTGTCCCTTTAAATCTTAATTGGTTGTGTTTTCCTTTTAAGTATAATATATATTTAAAAAAATTATGAACTTAGTATTTCTCTTTGAGATAGAATTTATCCAAACTACTATTTTGCTATTAACACTTTTGCTATTCAAATGGTTATAGTTTTTTTTCTATTCAGATATGAATTGTAAAACTAAAATACTTTGTGATTACGAACAATTTAAAAATAATATCGTGAAAGAAACTTATACTATATCAAATCTTATGTATTCTTATTGCATTTACTTCTACCAAGATTTAGATGCTTACATTTTATAGTTATTTGGCTCATATTCATCATGGATACTAGTGTTTTGTCATCAACAGCAACGGCAGAAATATTTAGTCGCGTTTTAATGAATGAGAAAACGGGCCTAAATCCGGTATATGAGTTGAATCATACAACGACATTTTCAATCGCTTGCATTTGGCTCGACGATTTTTAAACCAAAATTGCACGTTTTTACTCTCAAGTCGTGGGAACTTTTGTCTGTGATGATTGTTTGTTGAATCAAAGAAATAAAAGCAAATGAAAACGAATAATTAACTACTTGAATTTATAAGGAGTATAAGTGATTTTAATAATATTTGGGGTAATTTAGCTTTTGAAGCATCAAGAATAAAAAATCATAGATTCAAAAAGACTCCCACATTTTAAAAATTGCCTTTTAAAATGAGGAAGTTCACTAATTTGAAACGAAGCGGGTCTACCAGTAAATGGAATTTCATTCGGATTGGTTTCGGGGAAAAAGTGTATATGTATAAAACCATTTACCTGTATGGCATCCGATTCAAATCTTCAGTATATTTAAGAATAAGATTATGCGATGGATGTGTATTCATGGCGAACCATTGTTCCAACTTTGGTACTTCTGTAACGGGATCGATGAATGTTCGATTGCGTTTTCGTCGTTCGTCGTTGCTTAGATTTAGGCCACAAACACCACTTTGACCGAGTGAATTTGGACTGGGGTTGGGCAGTAGTGAGTTTGGTACCGTTCCTTGTCCAATTTGCGGAATGTAATGACTCATGTACATTATTGAATGTGAAAACATCGAGTTAGGTAAAATTGGAAATGATGGTGATGGTGAACGATATTCTTCCATTGGATTAACATCAGACTCTTCCATATCAAGATCTTCTTCGGATTGTGGTGAATCTTTGATTGAGTTACGTCGTTGTGATCTATCCGACACATTATCCGCATTTGAATCGTCCAAACGATTTGGTGGTAATGTTCCTTCTACCACTGATAATGTTCGATTGTCATTGTATCGATCATGCTCAACCAATTCATTATGACCATTATTATTATTAATTGCATTACGAATGTTATTGTTATTTTGTAATGGTGACCGAATTGGAAAATCTATTGTTTCCGATTTAATTTGATTATCTTCAATCGATGATGTGGATCGACGTCGTTCATGTGTTGTCAATGATAATGGTAATTGTGGCGATGCAGCACGCTCGAGATCATCATCCATATCATCTGAATGCTGTGACATGTTATCTATATCGTCTGATTTTATGCTTTGCGGACTTTTCATGTATTCATTATTATGAGCATGTAGTGTTTCTGAATAGATATGAGAAAAACCGAAAACATTTCAGTGAAGACAAGGAATGGGTCAAACGGAATATTTAACTACTAATATGACATTTTCAAATCAAATAAACTACAAAATTGATTAAATTTTTTGAAAAATTTCTCCAAAATGTTAAATAAAAGTATTGTGTTATACTCACCATTCTGATTGGTACCAGTAAAACCATTACCAACACCCTGTCCACGTAGTTCAGCTCGTTTTTGTGCAGCCCGAGCATTTTTAAACCAATAAACAACATTATTAACATCTAATGGCTTGCGACCTCGTCGCGAATCAAGTGAATTCAATTGCACTACATATGATTGAATTTGTTGTCGCGATGGATGAGGATTCTCTTGGAACCATCTTTGTAACTTTGGCAACTCCATTTCAGGATCAAAACTGGTTCGCATTCGTGTTTTTTGATTTGAATACTGCGAATGAACAGTTTGCAATGCTGGATGAACAATGAAGTTATTGTGATGGTGTTGAGATTGATGCAAACTCGTTTTATGATTTTCCAATAAAGATTCGCGACTGCTTTGTATATTTCGATTACTTAGCATTTGAAAATCAGCATCTACATTACCTAAGGGGAGAATCACAAAAGAAAAGAATAGAATTACAATATGTAATTTAAAATAATCGACAAATAATCGAAATAATCGAAAAAGAATCAATAACAATTATTAAATAATAGAAAGGCAATTTTTAAGTGAATCGCCCCTAGACATTACCCTTTTGTGCGTTTATAAATGGAAGGAGTTTTTGAGTTGCTGCACTTGCTTGAGGTGCCAATTGATTATTCCACCATTGATCAAATGCACGACATGTTTCTTCCGATATTTCATTTGCATATGGAAACGGCCCTTGATAATTCGTTCGACAAATTTGTGATAGTGTTATCTGTGACGAATGCAATGATTTTTAGAAAAATTAATGAGCATTCTTTTCTCAAATGAGACTTTTTTTCGACGAGAAATATAATTGAATTGCATTAAATTACAGAGATAAGCTCACCTCATCTAAAGGACATCCTGCCGAACGCAAAACAGCATGCGATTGCAGAATCAACAGTTTAAGAAGTTTATCTTTGATTTCGGTAAATGTAGACGGTTTAGTGCGTAATATCACGATACGTAATGTAACAACTGATGTTAATTCGCCAAGAATATCGCCAACTGAAACGAGTGGATTATCGGAAATTTTTTCCATAGGCAGTGGTTTCCAATTTTTTATGATAATTGATCCGCGTGCTGTGGCTGCAATATCTGATGAATAACCTAAGCGTTGTAATGCTGTGCCCAAAATATCTGCAAACGGTGTTACAGCTGGTACAATAACATAACTATCAGTTTCAATGTTTGGGCGTCGTTTCCATGGATTTCGATTTTCCATGCACAATGATGCTTGCATGGAGGTGATAGATTCGACAATACAATGTAACGGCAGCGATTTCACTATAGACAGGTACACATAAAAAGAGGAAAAAAACATTTTTTTTTTAATTTCATCATCGTCATTTGTCAACAACAAAATTTATCGCTCTGACAATTTTAATCTTAGTATTATTATGTATATAATTAGATGTGACAATTTTTTCACACGCACATGTACATACATACAAGTTTTCGTTGCCGATTTAAATTTGTATTAACGAAAATAATATTTATTAACAGAATATTCAATTATTAGAATTAAATATGAGCTCATTAAATGATTGATTCAATTTTGGTAATGAAACGATTTTAAAAATTAATCGGAACGCAACCACAGTGAACGTTTATGATGTATATCGATGTGCATTTTTCGGATAAAATGAGAAGGAGTGAGTTCGATGGTACAAATAAATACATTCGATATTGCATGGGATTTTAAAACCTATACCATATTATGCAATTGAATGAATGAGCCGCCATGAATTATAAACCAATGATCCGTTAACAGTAAAAGTGCTTTTAACATCAATTATTTTTCGCATGGTCACAGATTTGGTAATATTTAATATAATATATGGCGTTCATCCAACCGAGCGCCACATTCTATTACGTCATACAAACTCACATTTTTTTTTGTTTTCATTTCGAAATGATGAAATCGCAATTGAAAAATGCTAACATTGAGCTATTTTCAAAATTGAAGCTTAGTTTTTGTTGACTAATTTCTTAAATAGTTTTCGTGGCAAAAATTGGTAGTTGAATTACAGTTAGTTAAAATAATTTGGGCTAATTGAAAAATATATCACAAACATTTATTGAAATATCATTGGAAATATAACGCTGGCATATATTTTTTTATTATATAGTTATATCTAAGCGCTGGAACTGGGGAACTGTTGGTGACGGGATACTGTTTTGAGGTTTGATATCATAAGCTTTGGTATGCTGACCGAGCGTACAAAAACACAAAACCACATAAACCAATAAAATATTATTATACTAATCGAAATGAGGTAAAGCAGATTGGTATTGGCTGTGCTTTATACAATGTACATAGTTCCGTCTTCTGTCCTGATTGAAGACGATGAAGACAGCTAATACAAAGCACATATCATCACAATCGCAGCGGAACATGTACATTTGAAGCGTAAGCCATATCATATTAGACCAAACTCATGCGGATTATCATAATTCTGTTATGTTCTTGACGGTAAATACGCATATACGTACGCACTGCATGACACAATTTCGAAGTTTGTAGGTTTCATTTGTAGTAAAATGATGACAATAACGAAAACAGAAAAAAAACCATACTTGAGCGAAAAATCGAGAAATTTTTCATATATGACGAGGAACATATTGTGAAATTTTAATTTTGTCTGCTACAATTGTCACATATTTTTTGTTCGTATTGCATTTAACGTATATTAAAAATACAAGTATCTCAATTGTATTTTGCAACAGTAATAAATTCATTTTTCGGTCGATATTTCGATCGATTTTTTTATCAAAATATTTAATACTTATTTCCATCTTAATTGAGAAAATATTTCAATTGTTTCTCGGGAATTGAATTTGAAATGATAAATTAAGACAAGATGTTATTTATCAATTTGAAAACGATGGTATTTTCTTATTCTCTCCGTATTCGTTTTCAAATTGAAAAATAACATCTTGTCTTTGTTTTTCAAAAAAAAAAAAATGATTTGGTGATGAAACAAAACTGATGAATTTGGACTTCTTCTGGCAGTTTTAATGTTTCACGTTCGTTTTTTCACGTTAGAGAGTAATTTAGTAACATCAACAAAATTGAAAGTGTTCCCAAATTTATTTGATAAATCCACCACATCATCTATGGCGATAAATCCATCTGAAAGTATTCCCTGACTATTATTTTTTGCTTCGATTTTTTGTTACAGCTAATTAATTGGCATTTATTATCAAAAAATTCCCCTCCTTCTGCTCGTATGAGGTTAAAAATTGTCTAATGAAATGTCAATTTGTAATACAACATATAATAAACAACTACAAGCAAATGTATTCTGCGAAGGATTCTACGCTGACAAAACTAAGGTTATGATTTTGACAATGATTTTGATTTTTCTGTTGTAAATGCTTACATTCCAATGAATATTGTGAAGTTGCCAACGATTGTTGTCATTGTGAATACAAGTGGAATATTGTGAGCATTTACAACACAATGTTGTCAAAATCATAACCTTAGTTTTTTCAGTGTAGTACTCCTCAAAAAGATTTTTTTTTTTGTAACTTTAATGTCCACAATTTGTCTACTATATATGCAAATATAAAGCAACAAATTCGGATCTTTATATTGATTTTTTTATAACAACAATACCAATTAATGATAATGATTAAAAAAAAGCAAAAAATTGAATTGATAGAATTGATTAAGGCTTTATTCCTTTACAATTTCAAAGTTTTTCTATTTTCTGGATAACAAACGGACTAACAAACACTGCGATGTGTGTGTAAGCTTAAAATCTCAAGAAATATGTATAAATACAAAATCGGGTTTTACATATATGTGGTAGCTTACACATTGTTGTTGTCATCACATTACCGCAAATACGTATAGAGTGTGATACACAGAGATACAGGATATAGTCATAGCATATCTCTGTACTAATGGCTATTCATTCACTATTCATAAAAAATCCTTTATCAAGCATACATTTCATTTCACTCTCTCGGTTGGTCGGAAAAATATTCGGAAATCTTAAATCGCTTCTGTCTTCACTCTCTTGCTCTTTCATCAGTTACATGTGGCAAAAATGTACAAACGGATTTCGCCAGTAAAGGGTATTGACGAAATGTATCTTACACGAATCTAATTCAAAAGGTATATTAAGTTTAAAGGATTTAAATAGATTTTATGTGAGCGTGTGGTATATGAGCGAAAAGATTGGGTATGGTTTTGTAAATCAATGTGTGAAAGTAAAACCAAAACTACAGAAATCCAAAGACTAATGGAAGTTTCTTTAATGAAGGTAACAATATAAATTCTTCCTGTCTTTTTTCTCACTCTCTTTCTCTCTCTATCTTCCTCTACTTTGGTCGTCATCTACTTATATTTCATCTGCTTGAAATATGGTGCATAACAACTGAAACAGAATAAACCGAACCTCAAACTGTTACTACTGCTATGCCGAGAAGAGATTGAAATCTTGACCAATGAAATCTATACAAGAATTTTCGGACGTATCAAGCGATTTACTCCGTATTTGGTTTTCAGCATTTCTCTTATATTGCATGCCTGTGTGTCATTTTTCTCTCTTTAATTTTCTTTAAATTTCTGATCGAAACATTCTGCTCCGAATTTGCATGTGACCAGTCTTTGGCCAGAGAAATAATTCATTCATTGGCTTCGTTGATCACACTGAACCAATTCTTCGTCGCCTGGTAAACAAATCTTCCAACATCCCTCCAGAGAAATAAAGGAGAAAGTGAATCCTGGCAAAATGTTATTCTCAAATAAAAGACTCAAAATGCACGTGTGAGCATTGAAATTCTAACAGGATTAAATCAGTCGGGTAGATTTATTTCTAAAAGTGGCCTCTTATACACACAAATCTTAGATGATCGAAGACAGCCCGAAGAGAGAGAGAGAGAGAGAGAAAATTATCAAATCACATACAAAGCGTAAATTTTTAAGTAGGTTTACTTTTAATTCAGATTCAGATACAAAAATAAATCTTATTATATTAGTATACATGTATTTCTACTTTTCTGTTGTAGTTTAAAGGCGATATAATATCGTTTCAATATTGGATAGACAATTTGAAATATTCTTCATAACCATTTAGTAGATACATACAAATTATCTATCAATAGGTAGGTCTGATCTAGGGGATATCCATGCGAATTAGAATTAGCACATTAGCAAAAAAATAGGGAAATTTACATGAAGAAAATAGCAAAATTAGCAATAAATAGCAGAATTAGCACTGTACACGTATATACTTTAGTAAGCATTTATTCTTGAATATATTGAAATAATTAATTAAAATAAAATTCACAAAACAAATGAATTGAATAGTGTTGAACTAAAATGTATCAAAATATGTAGTTAAATACGCTTTTTCTCATTTTTAAACAAACATATATTCAATGGCACGTAACCAAGCACGTTTCATCTGTATTAACTACAATTTACGAATTGCAATCGGAAATGTAGATTTGATGACAGATTTCTTACTGAAAACGTATACGCTAGTGCCTGCTTCAAATATACACGTTGAAAGTGTCAACTTGAAACATTTACGTAAACACATTTCAGTTATTCGATCATGCTGTCAATCTGACGAATGCGATATTTTTGACGTACTAGAAAAATTAGCAAAAAATAGCAGTATTAGAACAAACTAGTAGAAATACTAGCAGAATTAGTGAAAACTAGAGAGAAATAGCGTTTATTATTATAAATTATTCGATCTGCAATTCACGGTTATCCCCTAGGGTCTGATTCATAGAAACGACAAAAATATTTGAGCTCATGAGATTGTATATTTGACTAGCAGATCATGGTGGGGGCGAATGTTAATTGAGAGTGAAAAAGTAAAAAGAATCCTGAAATTTTCTCCTAAGAGTACTGCAGTTATAAAGCGCTCGGTTGCAAGTTTCGTTTTCATCTTTTCACATCACGATCCACATAAAATCGAATAGGAAACAAACTAATAAATCTAAATCGGAATTGGTGAAAGTTTTTTTGTTCGATATATTTTAACCCTCCGTTGTGCGACACATTCCGTATACCTTCGTTGTGCGTATGGTTCTGGCCAGACCACCATATATTTTAAATGAAAATTGACGCTCAACTTCCAGAATACTTTGGCCCAGGTCGGATCCACCTACTCCACAAGATTCACTTCCAGCTCTTTTCATCTCACTCTCGCGTATAAATCCAGTTTACTCTATAATATTGTATGAGATGAAGCAAATGATTCAATACCATATGATTTCCCAACTTCTAGAACACTTTGGACCAGATCCATTTCATATAAAATGTATGTGGGTCTGGCCAGACCCAAGCGCTACTTATGTGATATGTACATTGAGATGTCCTTGTAACAATCCTTTTATGGGTTTTTTTGCCATGATTTTTTTTTTCTAAAATGTTATCAATAAAATTCTAGGAGAAGTCATGAAATTTCGAGTTGATAACAAATTTGGAAATATTTTTAAAATAAAACTAAAATCGAAAAATGTCTGGCCAGGCCCTTTTGCACAAAGGGTTAAAGTCATGGAAATATACCAAAACTATTAAAATACGCAGAATTGTTCAATTCAACTTAACCATACATTACTTAGCATAGTGTGTGAATACATTTTAGCTGAACATTTTCATGGCTGTAAAATGTAATAATAATAATCGTTGTTGTTGGGAGCTGAGATTTAGAGCAATGTGTGAAAGAGATTAAAACCGATTGGAACGCAATTCAAATAATACAACAATAGATTTGGTCATGTACAAATCCAAATGCAATCTGTATAAAATGTACGTTTAAAGTAATATGATTCATTGGACGGTGGTGCTGTAGTACACTATTGCAGCAGTTGAATCATTATTCAGATGGAGAGGTTTATTTTGATCCAGCTTATAAGCCGTATCAAAGGATTTCCTAACTGTACCTGAAATTATATTAAATATACGTATATAATAACCGACTCACAGTAGATTTCTCTCTCACATACACATACACACATAACTTACCCATCGTTACTCCCCATTCAAAACCCAAGGGGCGAAGCAGTACTAGATTAAATTCTTTCAATTCCATTCAATTCCACTCAATTCTGTTCAATTCCAAATTAGATTCTAGTCCGTGTGTATTTTAACCCATTTACTTCAGCAAATTTTAGGTATTACAAGGAGAAATTCATATAAAGTCGCAATATAGCAGCAAAATGACACTTGCGTGTATTATTCGCCAAGCGTGATTTGGATGTTAAAGAATGTGATTTTTTTCATTCTGATTGAACCGGGCGATACAAAAAATTGACCGACTTTGAGAATTGAAAAAAAAATAATAATAATATTTTTTTCGTTTTTCACGATTTTTCACCATCTGGGAAGACTTGTATGAAAAATACGGAAGACCGCTGAAATGGCAAATACAAAATATGTACGGACGTAAGACATGCCATTTCAGCGGTCTTCCGTGTTTTCCATACGATGTGAAAAATCGTAAAAAATGACAAAAAAAAATAAATAATTTTTTTTCTTCAATTCTCAAATTCTGGTCAATTTTTTGTATCGCCTGGTTCAATCAGAATCAAAAAATTCACATTACCTAAAATTTGCTGAAGTAAATGAGTTAAAACACACGGACTAGAATTTAATTTGGAATTGAACAGAATTCAGTGGAATTGAATGGAATTGATAGAATTGGATCTAGTACTGCTTCGCCCCTTGTCAAAACCCCGTTCCAACAAAAACATCTGTCTTTCCTGGTAATATTATGAATAAATTATAGTTTAACATTGAGCTATATACATAAGGTACACATACGGAATGTCTTCATTCTTATCGAGATGGATGTCTATCGAATTTTTCTAATTTCGTTTGACAAATATCAATCGAACATATTAACAGTTTAAAATATAATCAACTTTGCATGCAGAGATCGTATTTTCTCTCTCAATTTATAAATGTTGAATATTCGCAAAAAGAAATTAATGAACGTGAACAAGGTAAATAACGAAGTGGAATTGTGTTGAAAAATTAACTATTTTCTTTCGTAAGTTCGTGTGAATTCAATGAAAAAAAGAAGTAAACCGGAGAATCTAGTCATTCGAGTTCAACGAGCCATTTCAATTTTGGACCATTTAAGTATTTTTTTACTTGGTAAGAATTTTTTTGATATAGTCATGGAGTAAAAAAATAAATAAAAAAAATTGTTTAATAAGGAAGTTACACTCAGATCAAAGTTAATCTTATGCCATTGCATTGTGTTATGTGTTTATATTCTTGCTAACAGGTACATTTAAAGTATAGTGTCGTACAATATGGAAAATACTGAAATTTCACGTGTGCCCTTGACTAGAGTTTACCACCATACATATGCCACATTGTGGATGCAATCATCTCATACGGCATGTATTGTATTCAAACAAGTATTTGGAATGGCATACATTTATGCAACGCATTGTCCAACGATGGTGTTGTGCTTTTGTGTGAATTAAGCATCCTTCAATGCGTAGCATAAATGTATACCATTCTGAATGCTTGTTTGAATATAAAGAGTGGTTGAACAAATTTAGTTTATCAAAAGTCAATAAATATATCGTTCGCATTACGGTTGTGTTTTATTCAAATTAACAGAATGCCTGTTATTGGCGTATCAACATTTTAATTTTGAGTTTACATGTGGAATCTATAGCAGAAATTCAAAGGTCCATTTGTTTATTTATTCAATATTAATCGACGTGCTTGTGATACACATTCCAGTGTGAATATAAAAAGTGCTGAGTATCAATTTTATTCACAGAACGATTGTCAAACTTCTCATGAATGTAGTTCATGTTTGTGTGTTCACTCCAAACTAACTCTCTTTCAATCTCTCTCTCTCTCTGTCTGTGTGTGTGTGTGTTTTGATGGTACATGAATAAAAAAACACGTTGCGTCGGCATTTCAAATGATTGTGAAATGAATCTGTATGACGTTTGTTCTCAGTAGTATTGCCGGTTTATAGTTTGTCACAGTTAAAATTCAATCGCTGTTCATTTCTGAATATTATTTTTGTTTTTAGTTGATATTTTATGATTGACTTTTTAGTTTTGTTAATTCGATGGATTTTTCTTGTTATAAATATTGCAATCTGTTCTCAATCAGTGATTGTCTCAAACGAAATATTATTTTGAGTGTTATTTTCTATAGTTTCACACATAATATGAACACGTTCATTGTTTCATTCGGAATTGATGCAGCGGGAGAAATGACACATTCGACGAAAAATATTTCAATTCTGGCAATTTTAGCATAATGTTATGCATCTTATACGTTTTCTGTGTTTATTGATACAATCAAATGAACTTATTTTTTTCATTCTGCTCATTTTCAAGTGTGATCTTAATATAAATGGAAGCATTTACGGTGAATTTTGCGATTGTTTCTGATTGTGATTTTAAAAAAATAGAACATTTGCAAACTAATGCAGGTCGAAAATATTCTGTCGTTTTGATGTCATTGTGCGAGTTCCCTTCGACCGAGTCAGACCTATTGTTTGTTTTTTCGCCATCAAGTATTTCAACAAGTTTGTGAATTACATTTGTTTTTTTTACTGTCATCGTAATGCCGAAACGAAAGGCAAGTGGTGGTCAATTTGAGCCAAGAAAGAAAAAATGGAAAAAAAGCAGCGTATAAAACATCGAAAGAAAAAAAGGAGGATGAAGGACTTTTGGCCCTCAAATGTGCAGCAAACACAGTGATTCGAGAAAAATATCGCGACCGTGTAGTGCAATGGTTTGAAGCAAAAAGCATTGATTTGGCAAAAATTACATATTTGGCTTCATTACTGTTTCTATACAAAGTAAAATCAGCATATGATGAAGCAAATTGGATTTTTTTTTGATGAAGAAGATGGCGTTGATATCATGAAGCAGTGTTTTTACGCCGTTTTGCGACGATACAAAGAAAATGAATTTATGGAAGCGGACTTTCGAGAATTTATTGAAAATGTAGAGCTGGGAAACCGCTTTGCTTGGCCGACCAATGTCTATTTTGCGAACCAAATGCAGTAATTATATCAGCAGTATGCTCGAAACGTGACTACGAATCTCAACACACATCTAGGAAAACGTTTGAAAGAGTTTAAAAAAAAAAAAAATGTAAAAAATGATGAAAATGTGACGAATTTTTATTTATCCGAAAAAAATATTTAAATAAATAAATTTCCAAATAATTTCTAATTCATATGAATTTTCTTTCTCAAGTGTTCAAAATATAAATTTTTTTATTACGAAATGTTATGAAATTCATCTATATTTATTTCATCATTGAAAATATGAGGTTATTTCAGGTAGGACTATACCAAATATATGGAATTTCCTAAAATTCGTAATAAGGAAATTTAATATTTTGTTAGTGTTCAAATTAAAATTGATTTATTTAATTATTATTATTTTTTGTAAATTTCAAAAAATTTAACAGAGAATTGTAAACTTGACTTGACAATTTTTGCGCCGAACATCCGGACGTCCGGACGTGTTCGGTGTTCGATCGCACATACGAACGAACACAACGAACATTTCAATTTTTACGAACGACCGACCGATCATTAATGATTTCAACGAACGAACGACCGACCACAAACACATATTTTTTCAATGTACGAACGAACGACCGACTGTTCGTGCCCAGCTCTGCCGATGACAACGTAAAAGAATACACCAAAAAGTATTGGTTTGAATCACTTCCAATGTGGTTGTATATACATGCAAGAGCAAATCGACGATTTCCATTACTGGGCTCAAGACAATAACATTACAATGCCAAAAATTGAAAACCTGACAGTGATTCCACGTTGCTCGTTCGAGCGAAAAGCAGTCAAAATGGACACCAAAGGTCTCAAATATATGATGGCTTAATTGAATCTTTTGCCTCAAATCGATGGCCGGCAAATCAACGAAACAGAATTCTACGAGCACAAAGAGTACTTCTGGAATGAGATTTTCGATATGCCAAAAATTCATCGCATTTTGAAGAACAAACCGTTACATGATTACAACCGTTTGGTGTGCAATGGTGTATCGACGTCGATTTTGTAGAAAGTGCCAAAACCGAACTCGATCAATTGGTGTCCGATGAAATCATCAAAAAAAATACTTGGATGGCGAATTCGTTCATGAGCTTGACATACATCCAGGCATGCGCACTTGGAATGCGACAGTCAGACGAAATATTCAGATGGCAAAGAAGTAAGTATGATATTTTCAATCACAATCATTTGAAATTTGTATGATTTTTCAATCGAATGAAATGCCATTGCGAAACTTTCAATTGTATGTTTTTTGTCTCTAATTTCAGATGAACTTCAAAATCAGTAGCAAGCAGTATCATTACATGGCCAGGCAACGTGTTCGTGACAGAAAAGTCAAACGATGGACACGCGAATTTACCAGTTATGAACAGAACGACCGAAATGATCGAGCAAGATATCCACGAATGCCATCGCCGAAAGGCTAGCATACATTGCACATCGATTGACTGTAATAAAGAGAGGCATTAAAACGTACACCACAATGCGATACGCCCGATTAAAATTTGATAAGTACATCGAATCAAATCATGTCAGTGATTGCGTCGCATTTTTATTGGTAAGTCAATTCAATTTTCTTCTTTACTTTTGTTTGACACAAGCGATTTCTTATCCAAAAAATTTGCATTGCAGAAATTGCGACCAATTCACCAATTAAGATAAAGAAACACGTCCGATGCCGAGGCACTCGTAAACTGGCGAAAAGTTTCATAAAAATGACTGGTATGGTGATTCGTCGTGTATGTGAAAGGAGAACATCAATGCTCTGCGGTCGTTGTTTTGCGGCATTTCCAGAAAGAACACGAAGTCATCGCTTCAAAGTGTGCGAATGGTGCGTGTCAAGTCCAGATGATTGGCCACCATTACAACAGCTACCACCGAAAATCGTGACAACAAAGACCAAGCGAATGATGCGAGCAGAACGCGATGATTGGGTGGAGGAAGCAATTTGTGATGATCCAGATCTAGATCAAGATGTAGCACGAGCAGTAGCTCTACGATTTGTGTCTAAGGTGATTTCGTACCGTAAAAACTGGCAACAAATCGACGCAGCATACGATCATGATGAGGATGAATGCGAAGATGTACACCAACGTCGAACCATTCTGAAGACTGTCTAGCATTGAGACATTTCAGCTGCAGAGCTGATCATGTACAAAGGTAAATTATCTATTGATTTGGAAGTGGAAATGAAAATGTAATGCTCTACTAAAGCGTTTGCGTGATTTTTTCTTTCATTTCAGGACATTGCCTGATACACGGAATAGCATGACATGTGGTGTTTACAGTTCAAAATGTATACCACGTTTAATTTATAAACATTTTGTAATTGAAAAAAAAAATGTAATTGTTTACTGTATTACACTGTAATAGTTGACTTTGCAGCATTTGGGACCTTTGGCCCACTTTAGTGACAGTACCGAGGTGATATTGATGTTTTATAATTATTGATTAATGAGTGACCATAAGGACCTTTAATAGTAATTATGATATTCCAATATCAAGTCAAAGGATTAGAGTTAGCTATTGATAAGTTAAATTTGATTTTCCACTCGGTAGAGAGTGTTACATACCATATGAGATGAATGCATCAACTATGTGACATCTACAGTAGAAACTTATTTTATATCTACTTCATATTAGAAAAAATACACACGGAATGTTATATGATCCAATACATTTTTAATGTTATAAAAAAGAATCTATTTCGCTCACCATATATTCTAACTATATTTGTAATAAATTTCTATATTCTATTTCTAGTCACTAGAGGACTGTTTTAATATTCCTTTTTATAAAATCATTCATCGTATATCAAGTTTTGTTAGCTGATTCATTGTATTCTGAGCATCATTTTGAACTGCGGAACATTTTTGTTTTTGTCCAAAAAATGCTTTTAAAAACTCTTGTAAACTAATTCGAAATAAAGCAATGCTATAACCAAAATGTGTGACCTATTTAAAAGTGTTCATTCAGCTCTCATCATATGTAGTAGATCCAATGGACAACTCAGTAGAGAATTTTTATTTGTGGACGTATCACTATCAAATCAACGATTTGAGTGAAAATGACAACGAAAAACAACAAGTAAATATAAATCCTGATATTGTTGAACTAAATTTGGCCCAGTTCAGATTCAAAACAGGATCCAAATTAGTTTTTTACTATTTTGGCCGATTTAAGACCACTAGTGTGTGATGTATATTTTTTTCATAGCAATCGCTGAATTTCATTTGGTCCAAGCTTATCTGCATGTGTTAGAACCGTTTAAAAGTTGTTTGGGTTTTTCAACGGTAATTTTTCTGCTTTGTTTTTTAAATGTGTACGCATGCACATTAATCCGGTTCGATTGGATATGTATTCTGAAAGAGGTATCGTCAGCCTGTGGCGAAATTTTCACACATGCTTGCTACAGTTGCTTTCGCACTTGAGCTACACCGGTTCCAATTTAAATGCAGTCAATGTGCTTTTTGCATGTCTGCAGGGTTCCGAATTTTTAGTTTTGTTTATTTTTCTTGACAAGCAGCTCAAGTGATCATCACTTTCTTCTCAAGCGATAATAGATTTGATAGCATTTCATGTTTTCACGCACAAACGGATCAGAGCACACAGAAATAAAAACCCATCTCGGATTGTTTTTTGTTTGCCTGTTTGTTTGATGGGAAAAATTATTTAATTCAGTTCTATTCTTTGTTTTATTTTTAACAGATGCATTCATCACCAATGATGTCGATGATGATGATGATAACGATGCCGACCAAATGTGTTTCAGGTGCCTTTTCAAACATTCAACATTTTTGCACGTATGCATAATGTTTTCTATGCATGTGTTTGTCTGTTACCTTCAATAATAGAGATTACGTTACTGCGACTGCTGTTTCGAATTAACACATACTATGCAATTATGGCATTAGTAAAGCCTGGGCAAAGGATTATAACAGATTCAAAAGAGAAACGGCACGTAAACCCGTATCCATATTTAAATCCATCTCTCATTGGAATCAAGCGCATACACATACCGCATACTCACATGAAGGGTGTGTGTGTTATTTGTGTAATGCACTTTCACAATCGCGTACATTGACAAAGAGCGAGAATAGCATTTTACGAAAATCGAGCTTATTTGCCAAAAACTGAACTAACAAATACTCAAAATATACATATTCGCTTTCACTTTATCGCCCTCGCTTAAACCACAGTTTTTCTCGCTGACAAATCTATACCGGAAATTCCGTACAATGGAAACAGTTTATATGGTTCAAAACAATTACTATAATGGTTTCTCTAACATCTAGTAAAATCAAACAAATATTCAGAGCATATTCAAGGTCAATCTTGTGACGAAGAATTTGTTAAATTTTTTAGATTTTCTTTAAAAAAATTGGTAATTTCTTATAAAATAAGTGTCAAAGTGATGACATTGAAAATTAATTATTCATAAAGAATCATCGACTCACGAAAAATTGTGTTTTTATTTTATTTTTTACATTTTTTTATGTAATAAATGCATTCGTTTCCAAAGAAAATTTTCCTTAGATTATTTTTCAAATAATAATCTTTTTCGAATTTGATCTGAAAAAAATATATTGAATCAGCCCCTAGGATTCTAATCTGATCCATTCCGGATCAGATGAATGAAAAGGAATAATATATCCAGTTCGAAATATATAGTAGAGCGCTCTGTATGTATCAAATAATCCTATAAACTCGATTTGAATGGAGAACGGTAGATCGTTGTCATGTGTGTGAGAACGAGATAGATAAACCAGTAAAGATTGAAAAAAAAAACAATGATGTTGTAAAATATCAGGAATAATGGATTTGATCCATATATTATCGATGTTGATGATAGTGTATGTGTCTATTTATATTGAATCAAGTTGAATACGATTTGTGTGTGTGTGTGTGTGTTTGTGCTTCTGATTCAATTTTCGGTTGTTGTGTACATGCAGTGGATTTGTACAACCGTTGAGTTTAATGTGTAGAAGAATTGCAGCCGCAAAAAAACGTGAGAGAGATCAATTTGATTTCAAATGTATGAGAAAGAGAAAGAAGTTTGGATTGCGAGTGATGGAATAGACACCGTATACAAATATAATGAAGCGCGTGTATACAATTGCCATTAGAACGTGTGGATACAAACACTTCCGGCATATTCCCGGATATATATATATATATATCGGTGTGGATGTGGATTTGATATTAGATTTAAGTACATCAAATTTGTTTCTCTCGCTCTCGAATTATGTTTTTAGCTACACTACATCACACACAGCTCGTGTTTTTTCTGTTCATGCCAAATCTTTCATAGTTTTAGTCGTAGTCTGGACATTTAATCGCTATTTTTTTAGATCATGTACACGAACTGCGAATTCGTATCGCATTTGGAGTGTATGTATGTACACGTGAATACACTCTTCGCTTATTCACCGATTACCATTTAAACACATAATATTTTTGTGTATTCGTTTCAGTTCAGTCAGCAGTTCGGTAAACACAAACAACGAAAGAGAGACGGAGATGTATTCAGTGTTCCGTTTCGGACACTGCTTAGTGATGAGATTATAATTTACTCTTTCGTTTTTTCATTATTGCTTGTTGTTGATTGGTTGACGAATCTATCGTTATCATATTCACTACATTTTCCAATGCGTTTTTTTTGTACATAGCAGAAAATTTGCGATAATTTCCACGTTTACTAAAGATTCCGTGAAGATAAATTTTGTTTGATAGAGTTAAGTTTTTATTTTTTCATGAAATTCAGAGTGATAATAATAAAACATACTTTAACATAATGCCAAAGATCTTAAATCTAGTTATATTCAATTTTTGTTTTTAAATAAACAGGATTTTCAAAAGAATAAGACATACAATAGAAATATAAAATATAATACTTCAATAATATCAATAATATTTAATTCATGCTTACGGATGAATTGAAAATGTCGTTGACATTTGAACTCGAATTCGTACTTTTTTGGGAATTCGTACTCACTGCACAACATATTTCGAATTATAAACATTATGTTTAGGCGCAAAGCCTTCTCTCTCTCTCTCTCTCTCTCTCTCTCTCTCTCTCTCTCTCTCTCTGAATAGGTTCCGTTTTTACATCAAAGCATATACAATGTTCACAACAATTACGTTGTGATGTAGTGTACGAAATATTGTGCATATGCACATCCCTTTAACATAGCATAGATGTTGACTAAAATATTCAACAGATCAATAGAATGCAGCAGAAAAACACAACGTAACCCGTATTCAAACTAATCCGATGGTTGATGGAATTAGTCCAAATCCAAATTCATTCATTTCTATTGTTCTCTGTCGTGTTTACGTATATGGAATCACTTGCATGTATTGCTAAATAACAAATTTTCAAGACTGAAATGGATTAAATCGATTTTATGCCCTACGTGTTGAATCATACAATGGAAATATTATATGACATATGACGATTACTGCATCCACTGATTGAGCTTGACGCTCGTTTAAAATGTACACGTACAGTTAGGCCGACAATACACTCATTCTTTCATTTACTCTCTTCATTACTTTCGTGCACCGACTTATAAATTTTAACGGGCGTGAAACAGATTATACATCACCATGTAAAACTATGAAAAAAAGAAGATAAAAAAAATGTGTGAGTTGATTCGGTGATCTCCACATTTCAGTATCAAATTATATTGGAATCATCATTTTCTGGTTTCTTCTTCGAAACATTTTTATGCCAACCATCCGGTCATGAACTTCTTTTCAAAAAATTTCTTCTAATTTTTTTCAATTTTACCTTGGTTACATAGAGTCTTTTGAATGATTAATTTAAAATTTAAGATTATTTAAATCCACATTCAAAAGTTAAACATTTTGGCACAGTGCCTCAACTCAGTAATTTGAACATTAATACCATAGTTTTTTGTTCTCTCCCTTCAACAAATGGATTTAAAAAATATATATCTATAATTGTATATATACGAATTAACCGACTCGATTTCATTTGTATTAGACTGAAACTGGATAAATATCAAAAAGCGTGCATACTCTGAAAACTGCTTTGAATTTTGAAATAAAAAACACCGGAAAAATATCTACGTGGAATAAAAAAGAATTTAAATGATTTATTAATGTGAATTCATTGATACTAGGGATTAAATATTGTAACTATTGTATTCGAAACATGCATTAAGAAAAATGTATGTGTAAATGGGGTGACAAAAATCATTGTTTTTTTAAAATCAGATCACCAGTTATAATACTAGAAGAAAAATGGGGGCATAATTATTGTTAGTGAGTGGCGTATTATTAAGGAAGAAAATCGAAACGGAAGAATAACTAATATCAAAAATTGTTAAATATTGTTAACAAAGGATGGAAGCAAACGAATTTCTTTGTTCCAACGCGAGCACCACTAACAATTTTTCTCCGAACCAATAATACACGAGTTTGTATCGTTCACAGACAGTTGACAAGATGTGATGTTATGTCAACTGGTTAGTAAATTAGTACCAAACACATTGATAGAGGGCCAATACCTTGAACAAAGTTCAGTAGTGATTTTGTATAGGAAAGTGACATCGCTTCCACAGTATGATTGTTAACGTGAATGAAGCAGTGGGATCAAAAAATCGCATTTCATTGATCATACCGCAGAATAATTGTGATCAAGCACTCTGTTCGAATCAGCCATTAAGTATATTTTGTTC